AGTAGTAGTAGTAGCAGTAGTAGTAGTAGCAGTAGTAGTAGTAGCAGTAGTAGTAGTAGTAGCAGTAGTAGTAATAGTAGTAGTAGTAGCAGTAACAGTAGGGCGACAGTGTTGTGTACGTGTGTATAATTATCATAGTATTGTTAATTCAGTTTCGTTAAACAATTTTTCAGTTTGCAAAATAAAATAATTTGACATTTCTGTGCGTCGTGGTAGAAACGCGCCGAGTAACTCGATATATTACGTTATATTAAACTCGTGCAGGTCATAAACATCTGGTCTGAGCCATACATTACTTTATGGCTTACAACGTGTATGTTTAACGTGTAGATATTACAATTTGTCTTCCTTTTTTCTTCTTTTTTTAATTATCTGTGATAATTTAATTCCTTAACTATACTATATATTTACTTAACCTTATAATTTAACATTGGTGATGGGAGAAAATTTAGTCGGCACGCAATGTTATTCCATCACGACCTACCGCTAATCAGTATTGGAATATTTTATTCGCCGTGCAATTTACCGCTCACCCCTTAACGCCTGATCGTTTTGTAATCGCGTATGATTTCATTATTGTTTTATCAGAGCGACGCACATTGGAAATAATAACGCAAAACCATTGGATAAACGCTCGAAAACCTTATTCGCATCTTTGTTTATCGCTCGTATGATACCTTGTGTATGAAAATTGCGTTACTTTCATATACGTGGTATGATGCAAGCTTACGTTGTATGTACTTGATAATCTTCTTTTCTATAGGTTTTAACGACGTTTTAACCGTTAAATTTTTAAATGTTACAGAAAAATCCATTTAAATCAATCGATGGCAAAAGAATTCGCACAGCAAAGTATTATTGACAAAGCCTAATAATTTGAAACTTTACTGAGAGAAATCGCGAGATATATCGACGGAAACTCCATGAAACTTTGTTACCAAGTATCCCGCCCCGTTACAAGAAAACTTGTGTATTGTGCTTCCACAACAAAATCATACATATATATTTGTAAGATTTGGAAAAATGAATACTGATTTTCTATGCAAAAACCACACACACGCAAGCACGTCTACATACATACGCGCGCACATAACACGCGCATACACAGACACACACACACACACACACACACACAATGTGTCCGCCCGAAAATCTTAAACGTTAGTACTGTATGAAACAAAACTGCACAAATTAAGTTTAGTGTAAACGTAGTTTCATTATTAACGCATTCTTTTTTATCATAAACGACCCATTACGTAGCGTCATGTTTAATTATGCGTGTAATAGTAATAGTAATAATGTTGGTGGTAGTAGTTTTGACGGTGTGGTAGAATGAATAATAGTTTAATAGGTTGTATTAGTATAAATATTAATAGTATTAGTGTGATAGTAATATACATAAGCAGCGTAAGTAGTGGTAGAAGTAGTTGTGGTATTGGTATTAGTAGAAATGGTATTGGTATTAATAGTAACAGTAGAAATAGAAGCAGTAATAATGAAAGCGTTAATAATAACGGATGTAGTAATATTTGTATAGTATTACAGTAATTTCAATAATATGATAGTATTATATATTTATGTGACGAAAAATGTCGTAGTTTGTTATATCGTAAAAATGTTAATAATATTCTTATTAATAGTAATGCCGATGTACCTTTCGATGTAAATCGTAGTTATAATGTTTAATGTAGTATATAAACAAGTGCGATTTGAGAACATCTTATAAGAATATTAGTGTATTTATTATCGTTATCACTATGGACCAACACATATAATAGGCGAGTATCCCTATTCTGTTTTTGTCATAAACAACCCATTACCCATAATATTATATTTAATTATGAACAAAAGTTTTTTTTAATGTATCTTATATTTTCCTTTGCCTATTTTCTTATTATAATTAATTTCCATAACGCATAAAATATTATAAATTTGGATATCTTCAAAAACCTTGGCATAACATAATTTTTTCAACTTGACAGGAAAAATGATCAATTTAGAATGTTTCACGATAAACTATAATCTAATACTGAATGATATATCTTTAAACGATACCCATAATCGTTACAAATTAATATACCACGACATTGAGATTTGAGTATGACGTTGGACTAGTAGAGAATATATTCAAAGTACCGATAGACCCTAAATTTGTCCAGAGTCATTAAAAAAAATACATGTGTATATATATATATATATATATATATATATATATATATATATATATAGTATCTTAGACTCTCCTTCACAATTTTTCTGTAAGAACGTGAAACGGATTGAGGTGAACATAAAAATTTTATACCATTTTGCGATTTTGCAATAAATCTCGAGATATATAATTAAAAAAGATTAGTAAATATTGATGATGTATGCTGTACATGTGTGTTGTATGCTGTTATGTGTTTGTACATTAGGTCAAATTAAACAAAAAGTCTTTTGTAATTTTGCAAATAATCACGTAGATTTTTAGTTAATGATGAGAAAAAATTTTTACATGATTGTATAAAAAATTGTTACATGATAACGCAGAAATTTTCTTTAATTAATATCTAAAAATCTAAGTGATTATTTGCAAAATGGTAGAGGACTTTTTTGTTCAGTTTGATCTAATGTATAAGTATACAACGGCAGACAGCACCACTATAGCTTATCAATCATATAGCACGTAATCATTCGCCTATCTTCTTTAATTAGTATCTCGAGATTTATTGCGAATAACGCAAAATGGTATGGCACTTTTAATTATTCATCTTAATCCGTTTTATGTTTCCACAAAAATTGCGGAGAAAAATCTAAGACATCCTGTGTATAACATACGAAAGAAATATAAGGGAATGATATATAAATTATAAAATAATAGCAACAGACACATATGCATAGATAGATATTGTGTGTGTGTGCATGTGAAAGAGAGAGAGAGAGAGAGAGAGAGATAGAGAGAGAGAGAGAAAGAAAGAAAGAAAGAAAAATAACAGGTAATATTTTAATGATAACACTCAAGTCAAGAATTTCTTAAATCATAAAAAAAGTTAAATCAATTTTCTTCAAACAATACAGCACGAATTTAGCAAAAAATCTGTTATTGTGCAACTAGCTTGGTAGTTGAAAGTTCGTTAATTCGATAAATAATTAAGTACCCAGTAAAATTCAATATTTGTTCGACCAATAATTTGTGTTTTCATGATTCTAGTAACAAAACATTTCATTTGTTCTAATACATAGTAAATTGTTCTAATGCATGATCTACGCTTTCTCGGTCTTTGACTAAATTTTGAAACCTCAACGTGTTTGTTTTTAACGCTTATTCGCGCATATGCATTTTCTTCGAGCATGTCTCTTTCCTTGAGAGAATAAGGACGAACGCATAACAAATAACAGAGAAACAATATCTACTACTACAATTCTAAAGCAGGAATCTCACATCTTAACCCACTTGTATAATTATCGTGCGACTGACCTTAATAAATAACTCTAATAAATAACCAAAATTATCGTCAAGTTGAAGAAGCGAGGTAAGATTGAATGCGCAATCGATCAACTTTGTGTCTCAGAGTTGTAATTGTAAATAACATGTAGTATAAGAGATGAGTTATTTGTCGAGACTATAGAAAAAGTATCTCATTTATTCGTATTCAACCTTTGTGTTTGACCTGCGGCTTATTACAGTATCTACATTTGTCAATAACGGAATATATGGTGTTGTGTATAAAATCTATCCAGGCAGGTGTCAAAGTAACTCAGTGAATGAACTCAGTTTTAAACATTTACGACACTTTAACGAGCATGCTATTCTTTTCAGGCATTCGTACCACTCGATCGGGAATACTCGTTTCAAAAATAATTCCCAAGACCCGGTTTTCTTCTCCTCGTCGGCGGTAAGCTTCGTCGTGATTTGGATGGAGCTCCTCTCTTTAAAATGGGAAGAAACAAGAAAGCAAATTGAAAGCATTACGTGTGTGATTCGATAAACGATATTAAAAAAATAAACTCAATCGATTACTTTTCGCGGAATCATAATACAAATGGTAGTGTATTGTTCGCACAGGTCAAGTGTTCTGGTTACTAATATTCCTTCGATTGTTATGAATGGTGAAAAGAAGAGGGAAACAAAAGCGAGCCCGAACAACGTCTTTCAGCATCATTTAAAATTGAAAAAATGAAGTGACGTTGCAAGTATTTTATCTGTAAGTATTTTATCTGTAAATAAATGATGAAAAAGTTGGCCTGTACATAGTGTTCAATCATTCAATCGAGTTTCTCGGAATCTACGTTGTCGACGAGAAAGATTTCGAAACAAGCTTGGGCTATGTTTGTCAGCGATAATCACATTGGTTGCTACCTCATTCGCACGACGCACTCTACGCGTTGTTATCTCTCATATAATATCGTAACATATTTTTAAGTAGTTAAGCACTTATTATCCTGATAAACAATATTATCCATCTTGTCTCTAACTAGCAGCCTTTGATGACTAGTTGTCATTGGTTATTTCGCGCTAATGTTAATGCTAGTCTGAGCATTATCTAATAACGACGCATATCGATTTATCATCGACTATTTCTCCTTTCGCAAATCTGCACGAATCCGCATTCAATGATTCTCTGTTTAAGCGGGAATAGCCTGCCACTATCGACGTTCATCTCACGTCGATCTCTTTATAAAATTTCCAATTTATTGATATCGCTACAGAAGAAAGAAGCACGGCGCAATATATAACTCACATTGTTCAACATCCGATTATTAGCCACGTTAGTCGCAAATATCCACGTCCAACGAGCCATTTATTATACATTTCTACGATGCCAATAAATTTACGATGTTCGGGATAACAAATTGCGCTCGTGCCCAGCGTTCAATCTGCGATACTTACTTGCCTTATGCTGCACTGATAATCCGCGATTCTGAATAAATATGTGTAAACTCGTGTATTTTGGACAGTCGCGATATATAAGATAAAAGAGCAGCTTCTCGCGCGACAGAGAAATGAACGTCGAAACGTCGACGTACAGGACGTGCGCAGAGTCATCGACAAAGACACGGCATATCTTTTTATTCCAGCGTAAAAGAGATATCAAAATATGCGAATGGGACTGTCGGTGATTTTCCGAAAGATTTGATTGGATAATGAGGAAAGGAGTAGTCTACGCTCTCGCGCTATCGATAATTGCGTAAGCGCGTCATACTCCTAGTTTTATGTAATAACGGAAACTACATAGACACGCGCGATCCATGTTTCCACGCCTCTTTTAGTTATTGCCGTCGCGATTACAAAATGTAAATACTATTTATACAAAATATTATGATTTCTTATCAGAAAGAAGTATCTATCAGAAAGAAAATGTGTTCGTCTGTCGCGAAAATTTTACTACGAAAATAACGAATCTTTTATTATAATACAAACACTGGAAGAATATTATATACCACTGCTACAACTGCGATTTCGAGCCTCGAAAGTAGTATTTCTAAACGACTAATAGTCTAAACGAGGAAACTCGACTCTGTCCTCGTCGTGTAAGTGACTAACTCTCGGCACTATATACACCCACATTTTATCATCCTATTATAATTCCCGGTTTAAGTCAAACGTATGCTAAATACGTTTAATATAAAATGTGTATCGCTTGATAAAATGCAGAACTAGGCATCTACACTAAGCGAAAAGTTGCCTGTAATACAGATATATCAAAACGATACTTGTTATCCGATTCTTTTTACCCAATGCCTTTATAATGCACTTTGTGTTGGAGTAGTTCTTAATCTCGCCAATTGAATAACATGCTTTGCATATTTAGAAACTGAATACGAGTGCAGTACCGAGGAAAATATCGAGGACATAAGTTTCAGTTAAACAACAACAAAAACGTGCCACCTCACTTGAGGGCAAAAACGTCTTGGTATATATACCTCGACAAATTTGATCGGCTTTCAATTGACTGACAGCAATCAAACAAAATCGAACAAGGATTATTGTCGTCTTAAATGACAACTGATAACAATTAATAATTGTTTCTTTTTTTGCGTTCGTGTATTTATAAAGATTTAAATGAAAATTAAAATAACATTTTATCCAACTCTACTTGCGTGAAATTATGCGAAATATGTGTTGACAAACCAAGAATGATAGAAGAGAAGAAAGAGAGGGAGAAGGAGGAGAAGAAGAAAGAGGAAAAGAAGACGGAGGAGGAGAAGAAAGAAGGAGAAGAGAGAGAACAGAGAAAGAGAGAGACAAACAAAGAAGATATGAGAAAAATTGGGGAAGAAAAAACCAAAAAAGAGAGAAAGAAACAAACAAAGAGAAAACTAGTCAGATCGTAAATCGTAAATTATGGATCGCGTATCGCGAACTCGTGCAATACAAATGCACGAGCACATAATTGACAACATATACCAAATGCTATCATGTTGTATAATTATTATGAAATTTGGCGTGAGACTACTCGCATCAATTTTTGCTGGAATTACGACGTTCCGCATCTAAATATGTTATATTATACTTTGAACATTGTTCCGTTTTATTACGTACGGCATCGTATGTAAAAAATTTTCTTTTATCGAGCACGATAAGGCATGCACGGCGACGTTATCTTATGGCTATTCCAAGCGTCGCAAACTCTCTATCGCGGTAAATTACGCTATAGAAGAACTGTATAATTGGTTAGTTAGGTTCTCGCAATATGTGAAACTTTCTCTCTATATAGCATAGAGCGATACATTTCAATAAATACGAATAAAACAGACTTTTTCTTTCCTCGATTACATTCCTTGGAAAGCATTCTTATTCTCGCTTCGCTACTAAGATCGAACTCTCAAATATTCTATTCTCCGCAAGTTTAAATCACGTAACTGTATACGAGGCATAGCTTCCCGACGATTACTCGCTTCAGGTATAACGCTAAGTGCCGAACCCGACAAACACGGCGAGTTCGCGAGTCTCTCAGGATTTTCCATTCTCAGATTCCACTGTCACGGAGGAGATTTAGGTCCGCCAGACTTATCTGGCATTACTTGTTGCTGCTGTTGCGAAGACGGCTGTTGTTGCTGTTGCTGTTGCGGTTGCTGTTGCGGTTGCTGCTGCTGATGTTGCTGTTGCTGCTGTTGCTGCTGCTGTTGGTGCTGTTGTTGTTGATGCGGGTGATGATGCGACGTGGGATCTGTGTTTACTCCGAGTTCGTTGCCTATTAGATTACCATTACCATTTTTATCCACACCGCCCGTATGCACAGAATGATAGTACCGTTCTGAAAAGATATAAAAAGACTGCTTGAAAAGACACAGTGACGCATACACACACGCAAACGCGCATGCGCAAAAATTTCACTATTTAACATCGATTTTCGTTAAAAACGAAAGAGATTCACCTTCCTCCATTGCAGCCGATGGCTCACTGGTGGTACCAGCGATGATGGGCGCGATCATGTTATAATCGTCTTCCAAGTTGATAAACGGTGCGGTATTCCAACGTGGCGGAACATTGGATACTGGCCTCTGAGTGGCTACAGGCCTCGTAACCGAGACAGGAGATGAAAATAGAGACAAGTTAGTCGGCGAAATTACCCCAGACATCGAGCTGATGGTCGGATACGTGAAGATTTGCTAAAAAGAGACACAATCGGAAAAATATTTATTGTACGAAAAATCGAAAACGATACTCTAGTAAAAAGTCGATAGGAAAGGTTGATAAGCACGATAAACTAACCTGTCCGGGTTGCGAGTGAAAATGAGCGAATGTGTATTCTCTGCTGGTGTGTGGCGTAACGAGGATTCTGGCGGGACTTTTTCGTCCAGTAGGTTCGACAGAATTCTGACAAGCAGAACTAACCAAACCAACCGCCGCCGCGGCAGTCATTTGTTCCTGGTTAGTACCTAGCTCGGCTGGATCAGTGGGCGATGTGGAGGACGTTGGTGGCGAGCTGGCGGTTGTTGCCGTTAGCTCACCCGTCGATCTTATTATCGCCACCGGCCTAGCCATAGGAGCGGGAGGCGGAGGTGGTAACATCGAACTCGGATAATACTGCGAGAACTTTTGTATACCAGTGCGTGACCCGGTTAGCTGCGTCTAAAAATAATTCACCGAATTATATATCTTCATGGCAAAAAAATAATAAATGTACAAGTTCCACGCGAATATAATTGGTGAAAAATCTAATATCGATCTACACATGTACGTCACCTGGGGTAATTGTTGAGTGTTCTCAGCCTCTTGACAGACAAACGTCACGAAATCTGAAAGAGTGTCGTGACCATTTTCAGGATACTTTACTACTCCTGTGGACCCAGGATGTTCCGGTTGATAGTAAGCCAATCCAGACATGCTTTGACCGGCGGCACCGGTCAATCCTTCGTGAGGTGAATGCAATCCTGAAACACAATCCCCAGTGATCACCTGATCTGATTAGTGATCTCGATGTCACGACCAACCACCCCCTTAACTTAATCGCCGTCCTTTCCTTACCTTCGCGAACTAAACAGATCGTTTTGTTTAATACTTTTCTCTCTGTTTCTCTCTCTCTCTCTCTCTCTCTCTCTCTCTCTCTCCCCCTCTCTCTCTCTCTCTCTCTCTCTCTCTTTCCCTCTCTCGCTTCTCCTCTCCTTTAACCGAATTACGTAGGTGAACAACGCAATCTCGAAACTGGACGAAACATTTGCGTTGTCGCGAATGTACCATTTCTGTCCTATATTAAAATCTTGAAGATAAAGAACGTTGCGTCTCTTTACGTGTCAATATGCGAAACGGTGTTCCTCCTCGAAATTATGAGCTATTAACGACTTCACCCATCGTTATTCGTTATTTCATTTTCTTACATTGTTATTTGTTTTATGTTTTGTTATAAAAAAAATTCTTTCATTCGACTTTTGTTACATTTTTCGATGATGCCTCGATAATTGACAATATAATATCCGTTAATGGAACGAAATAGCTTTCAGCGTGTAGCTTAGGTACGTTTACAGACGTTTATTTTACGTTTATTTAATACAGATTGATCTATCTTTGGTTTATGTTCCCTCTTGACGATAAATAGCATACCTTTCCCCGAACAAACGCTCGCGTAAGTACACGCGTATTTAGTCGGATTAGATGACAAAGTTGAAATGAGTCGTCTTCATAAGAATTACGAGCGCAGAAGTTGAGTAGTATCGCAGCGAAATAGTGACATCGAGCGAAGCTAAAGTGTCAAAGTAAGTCTGCACCCGTATTGTCTCACTGTCGCGTTTTCGGCGGTAACTTGTAGCTTAGCCCAGTTTCGTAACTGATACACGCAAATATGCTAATAAATACATATCATAGACTGTTAGATAAAGACAAAAAAGTCGTTGTTACCATGAGCTTGTTAGGGGGTGGTTTTAGTGACGCACAAAAATCGACAAAACTTTTTGGTGCTAATATCGTGTATACAAACTGCGTCCTAAAACTGTGTCTCGTGATTTCTTTCAATTGCAAATTTTCCAGTTAATTCGGATATGTCGGTTGCGAAGAAAAATTTATACAGAACTTTACTATCATTGATGTAAACGGTTTCAAATGTGAAATATTTTGACTGCGACGAACAAATGAAAACGATAAAATTTTTCTTACATCAATTCATTTGAAATTTACGTTCAACACAAATTACTTCACTTCCTTCCCTCCTTCACCCCCTTCTCTCTCTCTCCCTCCCTCCCTCTCTCTCTCTCTCCCTCCCTTTTTCCCTCTTCTTCCTCTCTCTAAGAAAACATCCAAATTCCAGATTCGTCGCTGAAATTGCAATTGAAAGAAGATACGATAGTTTTGGGATACGATGTATACATACTTTGTCGATGTACATACATACACATATATACATATAAGAATAAATGCATTCCAAGCGTGCTTGACCGACTGGATATACATTTATAAAATGTATTCTCAATAATACACGATAATAAGTCAAAATAGATTGCGTATGCAATGGTTGTTGTTATTTAAATAGGTGTTAACATCATGTACATTACCGGTATATTATAAATGCCGGTTTTTTTTAACCAAAATTTTCATAGCCGTGTTTACGTCGTATATGTACGCATATATGGCGCAAAAAGGAAAAGAGAGAAAGAGAGAGGAGAGAGAAATTATTATCAAGAGAACAACGACGTAACATATCCGTACGGCTGTATTAATTATTCAGATTAATTATTTTCGTTACTGACATACGGCGCGCTACAACGACATAGCAATATACGGTACAACAATCGCGTTTACACGATTTACGCAAACGTCTAGTAACGTACGCGTATATATGTAGTGCGAATGATTTAATAATTCAATTACCGCGAGTTATCTTGTGTGTGTATGCGTGTATGTACACATATATGTACATACACACACGCATCAATGCGTACATAAATACCGCAAGTTTTTCGATAGCGTACACAATTTATTTTGTGCATTATATAAATAAGACGTGTTCGCGTAATATACGTAATACGTGATACGTGATAAAAGGACGGGATATATATACATGTACATATGTAAGTGTGTACATGGACACACAAAGTGCAACACATAGTGCAAACATCAAACAAACAGCAAGATAACAACGACTAAACAACACATCAAAAACATCAAATCAACAACAACATCAACATCAATACAATGATCAGAGTATATATAGATATATGAAACAACAACACCAACATCGCAACGATAATAGTGTAGGTAAGTACCGTACGAAAAGGGCATAAACGTTCAAATATATTCGACATGAATCCAATGTTAATCAATCAAATAAGTCAATTAATCCATCACAGCATACGACATACCCAGAGCATTGGCCGTGTGAGGGTGAGTAATATAGAGAAACAATATCGAGTGAGATGGAACTAAATTATATAGAGTGCACGCTTATATATATATATATATATATATATATATATATATATATATATATATACAGATAGATAAATAGGATGCAGCCTTGTTCGTAGCTCGATCGATCTACTAGATCGTTGGATCTATCTCGGGCTGATGCCTAACTGTAACTATGACGATAATAAGTAATAACGACACTCCAGTAATTCATCCCTCAAAAACGAAATTCGAATGTCTGGTTTATATTTCAACTTATATACGATCGTACATGGGCTCGATGTAGCCTTGTATTCAATATACAAACTTTAGTATCGCTCTCAAGTCTTCCAAAATGGCTGATTTGTTCTCAAAATTACACAAATTTTCTTTCGATCGCCGAGCCGCGTCGAGACTGTATCGTGTTCAATTTTTTACGTGAAAAATATGGGTGAATATATAATAGGGTTGTCAAACAAAGACAAATCAATAAATTGACAGACAAAACAGACCGCCAGACAGACAGATAGCAACAACTAGCTCGCTAGGTAGACCGTACTACGCATTTAGCAAGAAAGGCCATCCGTCTGTATATCCGCCCGTTTCCAACGCTTACTATACCCTCCTTTGCTAATACTATATAAATGATGTTGTTGCGCACGTCGAAGGAAAATTGACTCGAAAACAAATAGGATATAATTACTCTTGATTACGAAATGCTCGAATAAGGCAGCCGTCAACAGGCGGATCGGTCAGACGGACAGATGAAGAGAAACTCTTCGTAAAGAGAATTATGCAGATGTGATAATAGATACATAGAGATGATGACAATATATACCGTATAGAGAACGAGGGTCCGCGCCATGTTGATATTCATCAACTAATTTTGTAAGTGTACGCGATGCTCTGAACTTTATCTGGTGCACATTGAATGCATATGTGTATGTCTATTGTCTGTCTGTCTGTCTATCTGTCGCGCGCGCGTGCGTGCGTGCGTGCGTGTGTGTATATGTGTGTTTGTGTATGTACGCACACGTATGATTTGATATGGTCAGATAATAATAAATTGTGACACATTGATGAGGAGAAGAGGAGGAACGGGAAGTTGAGTCGAATCTAGTCGAGGTGAAAGAGGATAGCAAGGCACGAATAAAATGAATTTAGTCAAGCGTTGTGCGCGAGCGCGCGTGTGTATGTGTCTGTGCGTGACTAGTCCCAGTCGTATTATTGAAATCGTACCAAGCGAATTCGCGCGATTCGCTTCGCGCGAGATAAAACGCTCTTGTAGAACTGCGATTACAATTCAAAAATCGTAAAATTATTCGATTAAGAAAAAGGATACAAGTCGTCAATTCGTGTATCATAATTTTATTTACAAGATTCAAAATAACTTCTTACCCTTGAAATATAATCTTGAAGGAATTTTGAAACAATTTTTCCTTCTGCAAAATGTTATCCGAAGTTAATGTTTCCGAATTAATAAAAATAAAAAGTTTGCTTATTACAAGTCAAAGGTACAGAAAGTAGGCAAGGAAGTAAACAAACGCAACTTACCGTCAGACGCGGGCGCTTATATGAAACGTCTGATTGACACGAATGACACATGATACACGTATCATAACACTAATAAATATCATGTTTATAATTTCCGTTGATAATTGTGCGTAACACAGCAAATAAAATGTTTTAACTTAGTAGAGTACGGTTATAATACAACGTTTGAAGGTAAAAAAATCGAGATTACGCGAGTTTTACCTAATTGGAAAATAAACTTTCAAGAAATATGAATGAAAGACGAAATGTTAATCACGATTTGAGAAATATAAGATTACTTCTCTCATACCTTGAAGAGAATCGAAGAGTTTTTATTTCTTTGTCCTTTTACGGAAAAAAAAACTACAAGATTATAAAAAAAACTACTGACATGCTATTAAAAAATTGTAGTTTTTCAGTAGTATGCCAGTAATTTTTTCAGTAGCATGCCAGTAATTTTTTCGTATTCCTATAGTTTTTTTCCATAAGGGTCGAGATTATTTATCTTGAGAAAATAGCAGTTTTTCACTTCATAATTTCACAATAGACGATAATTTAGAAAACAGGAGTTTATTGCAACACATTCATTACTTACAAATGTGAACTTTCGCACAGATATCAGGTATAACATCCCACGATAAAATATTAATCGATCGATTTACAAAATATCAATGGATGCGTCGAAAAACTGTTGCTTTCTTTTCTCGCTATTTCGCATAGTTATGAACAGAAATTATAAACATAATGTTTATTAATATGTTATGTTATGAATATATCATATGTATCAATCAGCTAATCGCATCAGGCCACACATAATCTAACCATACATAAGCGTCCACAGTATCCGACATGAGTTATCTCGCTTACCTCTTGTATCAGACTCGTAATAAGCAAACTATTCACTTTTATAACTCGACAATACTAAGCTTCTCGTATAACATTTTGCAAAAGGAAAAATCGTCTCAGAATTCCTTCAAGATTATGACACTTCAAGGATAGAAAGTTACTTTAAATTACTCTGTAT